TGATGCTGTGAAAATGTCCTGCAGAATTGGAGTACAAATACATTTCTGAAAAGATGTTCTGTTTTCTGATGGCAGCTGACATTGCTCACAACCTTGTGAAAAATGGGTCCAAACGAAACACTTCTTTGACTTTAAAACATCATATGCATTGAAGGAGAAATTTTTGGAACTAAATCTCTCGTCTTGTAAATGGTTCCTAACTTTGGAACAGATCAGACCTTGAATCATTATGTTTCTGAGCTTTCCAGATACCCACACAGCTCTTTGTCTTGTTGCTTAGGCACATGCCAACCTCACATAATTAGCTATGCTAGATCCTTAACTGTGTTAATTGAGAAGACTAAAACTCGGGGAAAACTCAAGTGGATCCCTGCAGCCCCACTTCCTATTAGCTGTACTGGACCATATCAATGGAGGTGCTGACCTCCCTTGGCAGCTACTTTACTGTTTAGAACCTGACCCTACTCTTTTTCCTGAACAGTTCCTTTTTTGGGGATGGAATGGGAAATGCATAGATGAAGGAAAACTTATAAAATTCTGGAACAGGCAGAGAAAGTACCTTTTCATTTCCACAATGGAATGAAGTGAGGGAAGGAGGGAGGGAGGGAGGGAAGGAGGAAGGAAGGAAGGAAGGAAGGAAAGGAATGCACTGAAGTTTACTCATGGCAAATATGGTGCACAATTTCTGCTGTGTAAAATAGCTACAGATCCATAGAAAACATACAAATTTTGTGAGCTCAGTCATGAAAAGCCTTTGAGAGACCTTTAAGAGCAGTGTGTATGTGCTAATAGGCTTCTTAATCTATACCTTCCATGTTTTGTCAAATTGAGTTGTGACTGAGTGACAGAGTGCTCATACTTTGTATGCACAACTCCAGTGTCACCATGGTGCCAGCTGCAGTTTGAGAGGCAAAGTTAAAATCTCAGCCATAAAAAAATGTCCCTGTTTGAGATACAGCTCAGAAAAATTGACTAAATATTGTAAGGTGTGCAAAAATATTTATGACTTAAATTAGCTCTTTACTAACACCAGCTAATTAGTCCTCAGAGGAGCACCCTTATGGGGAAGATCATATTAGTGTTAGCCATATTTTAACAGATTGAAACACAAATGGATACGTAAGTGATATGATCTGTCCAAGACTAACCAGTGAGAAGGGGCCACCAGTGGTATTAAAACTTCTGGTTTGCATTCTTGTGCTTTGACTATCCTGTTTTCCTTCCAAATTGTTTCATACAGGTTTTCAAAAGATATCTAGTTATTAACCAGTATCACATGCTTTCCTGACCCCTCCCCTCCAAAACAAAGAAAAATGCTTAACAACCTCCAGACAAGTAGTTCTGTTTCTAAAGGAGGTTCAGTACAAAGAGTTATTTCCTAAAAGTAGACAAAGCCTTTTTGATATTTACAGAAAAATACAACTACCTTGAAGAAAGAAAACAGTGAAACAATGTGGAAAGAGTGACCACAATAACTATAAGAAGCAAACAAGAAGGAACAAACTCCATGTAAAATGAAGAGTCTCCTCCTCAAAGTTGGTCTAATTCTTGTAAAAAGGTTTAGACTGACAGGTTTGGAAACTGAAGGGATAGCCACAGGTTTGTGATGGCATAAATAACTGCACAACACTTATCTTGTCATCACACCATTAGAGCCATGCCCTGTGCTGGACACATGAGATGTTTGGTCATTATGCCTACTGCAGTTTGGGTCGCTGCTGAGCACCCAGAGATGCTACTTTCTGTCAGTAAAACAAAACTTCTACCACACAACATTTTTAAGGATTTTTCAGATAACTTTAGATGATACAAATTCCACCACAGGAACAATTCTGATAAATACAGATTGTCATAGAGATGCGTGGTAAGTAGGAAGGAGGGAAATGCCATTCAATTCAACATAAGTGTATGTGCCCTTCTAAAACAAAGACTGTTCTGAGATTAGTATCACTAGCACTGAAGAAACCACTTGATTCGCCTAGAAATAACAGTGAGTAATATTCTGTCCACAAGACGGAGATAGTGTCTCCTACACGGCTTAAATAAAATCTGAATGAAGTTTAGGATGCCATAGAAGTAGGATCGCAGAGCTTCTAAAAGTTTTTGGAGGTTTGTGCCTGCTTCTTTACTTTTAGAATGTCCTGTTTCATTTTGTGTAATAAACAGATTTTTTTCTATGTAATTTTTCTGCTGAATTTATCTACTGCTGATGTTTAAGTTTCCAAACAAGTTGACCAAAACCATTTGACCTCTAACAGAAACTGAGTGAAATGAGAATGCAGAACAGTGATGCATTCAGTGAGGAATTATTTATATCCCTCAAATGTGTTTTTCATTAAAAATGGTATTTATTTATACCATACATACTACAAAACAGTGGGGTTTTCTTACTGTAGATATCATTCAATTTTTGTTGTTTTGTTTTTTAGACTTTCCATCTTGCTTGTTCCTAATAGCTTGGGAGGAGGGACGGGAGTGCAGTACAGATAACACTATAAAGGTCCATGTGTTTCAGAAGAATGCACCTTTACTGTTGTAATTTCCCTTTCTCACAAACACACTGAGCTTGTACAACATAAAACAAAGCGAAGCAGATCTCTCCACTCAATTTAACAAGGCAAAGTAGTTGAGACTTTGAGGAAAAATAAAAAAGATGAAAGAAAAAAAGTCAGTGAAACTGCTTAGCTTTTTGCTATAAAGTTTCTTTTTGTTAAACCAGAAGGTAAATTTTCCTTACAGTTTATATGGGATACACAAATGTTTTCAGGGCTTCATCAGTGTACAGAATCAAAAAATGATCAGAGGCTTGTAACCCATAGGAACCTAGTGAGAACTCATTTAGAAAGATTTTTCTTTTATTTTCTACAACTGGAAATACTGATTTATTAGCTATTGATTCCTACTTTTGGAAACAAGAATACTGAAATGCATGAAGAGTACTAAAAAAGAGGAAATCCATATTAAGAGTTTCCTCTAGAACATGTAACAGGAGTTAAGTACTCAAGTGGACATAAAGGTAAGAATAATCACAATGCACAGCAAATCAAAACAATGACAAGCTGAAACAATGGAGCATTTCTAACTCTTGGCTAAGAATAATAATGTTCTGGGTCAGTAAATAGAGAAAAGGAACACATTCTCACTGAAGGAATATTTTCTTGTATGCTGAAATATCCCTTGGGTTTTCAATTGTTTGTTTGTTTGTTTTTGCTTTTGTTATTGTTTTTGTAAAGAAAAGAGTCTACAACACACACCCTAATGGTTTTGGCTGTAGACTGAACTTAAGTAAATACCATCACTCAGTCAGTATGTTGTGGTAAGTCAGGCTGCCAGTGTGGTTTACCAGCTCAAGCAACATGTGTAAACACCGGAAACAAAAAAGATTCATAGGACAGCCTCTCTTTCTCTCTGCATTTCTCAACTGCTTGCTCCTTCTCCCTCTCCTGTTCATGCTTGCTCTCTTGCTTGCTCTCTTTCTTGGACTTTCATTATTTTCTGACAAACCATATTGGTGAAACACAAAACATTAACACAACTAGAGATCCTTTTTTTCTGGCCTCTAATTTTATCCAAAGGGAAAGTTACCCAATAAAAAGTCCAGCATATGTTTTCAGAGCTTCTAAGTGCTTCTGCCATTAATTTCTTTTGATTGCTTCTATAAAACATGCCTTAATCATACTACAGCACTTTCCATTGCAAAAAAGACAACTTTACAGAACAACATAGTTAACATTATTTCCCTGTTCTTTTTTTTTTTTTTTAAAACACCACAAAAAATCCAGGCCATAGTAAGAAGCACACAAAATTATATTCATCTTTGTTCTGTGACAAGTAGTATCAGCATTTATATCCCCAAATATTATGCATGTTTGACAAAAAAAAAAGTTTCCACTGATTCATATGACACGATTCTGTTTTTTTTTCTTTTATGTAATGTAGTATATAAGGAATAAGGATGCACTATTGTTTCTAGTAATAACTGGCACTTGAAAAAAGCACCAAGAATTCTGTATTTCACTGTACCCCTCTTCCCTCCCCAGTACTTTTTTCTGGAGTCCAAAAACTACAACTGTGGTTATGGTGAATAACTACATTTTCTTTTTTCAAAACGTGTGCAAAGTTGGCACTTTTGTATTAACACTAAACACTAATACTCTTTGTTTGGCATTCATGCCCTCATACTGACCAGACCACTTTTATCTAAGTGTATTTTTTTAAAGACACTTACTGAAAATATGGCAATAGTTTAAGAAAAAAAAGCATGGATATTATTACACATCCCCTTGTAGTGTACGAAAAAGTGCATGACTGGATTTATGTAATAGTACAAGACAAAAAAACTGTATCAGATCAGGTACTGTAAAGCATGCCAGCACCTCTGTATTACTTATATCTAGCAGGTAGTTAAAACAAGACCGTGGTTCTTTTAAAAATGTGCATTAAAGCTAACATAAATGAGTAGAACTAGCCAGCAAACTATTTTTCCTGCTTATCTAACAGCTGAATGTAACTGTAAAAATTAAGCAAAAAAATAAGAGTTAAACCACCATCAATACAATTGTTTTACATCATAGGCCTGTCAAGGCTCAATATATATACAAGTGTTAACAGCCATGCTTAGTAGAACGTTATCCCCAATGCTTAGAAGACACAAAGACAACTAAGTAGATCGGTTTTTTTTCTTTTTGTTTGTTTGCATTTTTTTTGTTGTTTTTTGTTCTTTTTTTTTCAGGCAAAAGTCATGGGTAGAACAAATTGTCTCTTTGGAGATGACCAAGAACATTCTAACAGAACTAGGGACAACTGCAAGTTTTCTGTGGGTTTGTTTTTTTGTTTTAGTTTGCTTTTTTTATGAAGGGTCTCTCCCCCCAAATTAAAGATCCCACCTTTTTGTTTCTATCCCAAAAAAAAGGAAAAAAAAAAACACCCAACAACCAACAAAGGGGAAAAAGCACCTGGTGTTTCTTTCATTAAAAAAGAAAAGAAAAAGATTATATATATATGTTTTTTTTTTTTTTATATATATATATATATATATAAAGGGAGACTGTATATGGCAGTTCAGATGTGGTGGGCCCTCTCTGAGAGCTGGCATTATGCTGTGTCCATCCTTGAACTAATCTACTGAAGTGAAAGGAATGTTTTTATGCAGATTGGGGTTCTGACTGTGCCGGTTTCGGCTACGGACAGAGGAGAACATCATGTTGCACCCAGGGACTTTGCATTTGTGCATTTCTCGCAAGTGCACTGTTTTATAGTGCACTCTGAGGGTTCCCTTGTTGCTGTACATTTTGTGGCAAATGTTACACATTATCCCACCGTTGCTCACCGAAACACTGTTGAACATGAGGGATCCTGGGACATCGGTGCCCATACCTACAGCTAAGGCAGGGGCATCTGCCTTGTGGGCAGATTCCCCGCTGTCACTTGCCCCATCGACGTCGTCCAGGAGAATGCCCTCATCGCTTCCTGCATCAGATTCTCTTGAGGAATGGATACTGCTGCTGGACTGGATGCTGGAGGTGGTGCTCAGGTCTAGGACCATATAGTCTTCTGACATGCCCCTGCCGTACCCATTCATATGGGAATCCTCAGTACCAGCAGGTGAGGAGGTGTCTTCCCTTATGTCGAGCCCCATCTGATGCTGAGCGCCATATATCTTCACCAAAAATTCATCGCGGAGGTCCTTACTAAGAGAAGGCTGTGAGGTGTCCAGGCCCATGTCATCCAGTTCTTTGGTCAACAGTTTACGGTGCAGGTTTATGTTAGCACTGTGTCTGGGAAAGGAAGAGGGAAGGGAGAAAAGGAAAAATGTACAGTATTTTTGATTAAACATACAGTCATCAAGCACCAAATCCAAATTCTGATTTATCAATAATTTATCATAAAAATAACCCCTATCCATGTTTCTTGGAAAATTCAGTCTTGTTATAAGTGAACAAATTGCAACATAAAACCAAAACAAAACAAGCAAATTAACCACCCCCATATTGTTTTTCTTTTCAGCTGCTGCTCCTCAACATTAGTCCCCAGCAGCAGCTATAGCCCTTTTATTTGACATTTACAAACTAATAAATTGCACTAGCAGAAAATGCAAAATGCTCTTCTTGGTTCCTGAATCCCTGCTGCCCTTGCCTTGCTTCAAGAGAAAATATTATTAATATATGGAATATCTATGTGTATTTGTGTCTATGTCTATCTCTAGATCCATATCCTTATAAATTTATACATACATACATATAAATATAGTTTTTATATATATATATGTACTCACATAACTGTGTAAGTGTAATATAGGAGAAAAAAATAACGGCAACTGAATGATACATAGTCAGAGGTCCTGATTCTGATAATTTAATTCTGGTATAAAAGGATTCAGAATCAGGCCAAATCAAGATGGAGATGACTTGAAGGGTTTAGGAGAACGAGTCTCTGAAATCTACATGTAAGTTTCTGAAAATCTTAGCCAAAGTCACTGGTTCCATCCTTCTGGGAGGGCACTTCTGCTTCTCCCTGTACTCTTCCCAGTACTGTGTCTGATGCGTTGCTGACTGACCCAAGCAGTGTAATTTCCAGTAAAAAAAAAGCTTGCTAATGGCAATGAGAATTTTGCCCCAAATCAATCAAAACACTTAAGCATGGGCTTTGGTTTAGGTATGTGCTGAAGTCACTGTGGGTGCTCAAGAGACACTGGAAAAGCTGTCACTGACGTCAGTGGTCTTTGGACCAGATCCCAAGAGCTGCAAGTTAAAATATTCTCAAGTGTTTTACAGGATCTGGGCCTTTGTTCTCAAGAAAGCAAGCTCTACATTTGCAACCAGTGTAAGCCTTTGTGTTAGTAACTGTGTAAAACAGCCTATTATTTTAAATACTATATTCTACTCTCCACTTTTGACATTGGCTTTATTCATCCATTGCAGTAGAACCTCACTGATTTGCAGTAGTGTCAGGAAACCCTCTTTGAAAAACTGCATTTTCTGAATTAACAATGGAACTGACAAACATAACAGACATCAGAGACCTCTGACCACAGAACATGCTTGTTTTGTTGAAGTGCTTAATAATAAGAAATCAGTATAAAGTTTTCAGTATTAGAAAACTTTAGGGTTCAGTATTCAGAATGTGCACCATTGCTGAGGAAACAACAAATATTTATTCAGTTTCTTTGGAGGGTGACTGGATTTTCAAGTCAGTAAAAAAAGAATTAGCGAAGTTCTACTGCGTAACATTCTTTGCAAGCTAAGGACCCAAACCCGCAATTTACAACATGCAGACTCACCAGTCTGTCTGCCCATTATAAATTGCAGATCAGAGCCCAAATGTAGGAGGGAAAAGAAAGAGCCGGGGGAGGGGTGGGGGGGGGGGGGGGGGGGG